CAGAGTGAGTTAAAGGATAGCCTGGGCAGCCTACTGAGAACTTGTCTCAAAATGCAGAGTAGAAAGAGGGCTGGAGACATCTGCCAGTGAATAGCACTTGCCTCTTGTCTGTGGGGTCCTGTGTCCTAGAACCAGAAAATTAAAAGGAAAAGGAAGAAAGAGGAGGAAGGGGAGGCAGCATGTATAAGCCCTTGCTCTTTATCAAGGTATTTTACTTAAATTTAGTATTATTGTGCCTATTTGGGATAATGTAGAAAGGTGTCATATATTTAGATTTTAAGCTGACTTATACTGTGAGTGAACAGCAATATATTGAAAATAATGAGATTTAAGATGACATCTCCAGTTCATCCAGGGAAAAGCATAAGAAAGCATGTATCATTTTATAGGCTTCTCATTTGGGTGAAGGGACTGAGGCCAAGGCCATTTGTCAATGGTTTCCTGTGACTCATAGATTCTAGCTTCCTGAAATGTTTCAATGGCTTCAGACTATACACCAGCTGCCAATAGCCAGACAAGAATGCCAGGGGCAGGCATATCTACTTAATTTTTCCATTAAGAAGAATAGGCCTGCTCTACAGCATTATAGGACATTCTCTTCCCATTCTTCCTATCATACTCTTCCAGACAGTCAACACAAATAACCAAAGTCAGACTAGAAAAAGCAGACTTTCTTTCAGACCCTGATGAGGTGATGGTGGAGATGGGTGGCTTTTTCTTTCACTAAGCGACATGAAGTGACTACTCTAAATCTCACTGATGATTTTTCAGTTGACATAAGCTATTGAATGCATTCCAAAGTCAATAACTGGTCTGAAATCTTTGCTCTGGCTAGGAAAATCTTTATCCCAGAGAACTGCAGTGAAATTACTCTTCAGCTGAGTAGGCACAGGCAAAGGAGAGGTGAAAGACAGCAAGCAAGGGGCGTTCCATTTCCTCCCCTCCCCATGTCATGGCATCCTTGTCCAGGCATCTCCTGATTCCTCAGACTGATAAACAAGGAGGGTTAAGCTGATGCTGAGTCTATCACAGGCTATAGCATCATCCAGTTGAGAAGTTTCTCAGAGCTGTAAGAGTTAGTCCTGACATGCACACATTTAACAACTAATCTCTATCTCCCTTGAAGAGATAAAAAAAAACACATTTCCTTGCAAACAGTAAACAGGGGCCAAGGAAATGTCTCAGCAGCCACACGCATGCAACAGAAGCATGATGATCTGAGTTCAGACCTCCAGAACTGTGTAAAGCGCAGACATGGTGTTAGCAGTGCACATCCGTGATCCCAGCACTCAGAAAACACGAAAGAAGTGTTACAAGTCATAGGCAAACTAGCCTGGCACATGCTGAACAATGCCTGAAAGAAGAGAGGCCCTGTAGCAAAACAATTCACAACTGAGATTGTCCACTGACTTCTGTGTGCAACCTCCCACATATCAACACACAAACACACATGCACACACCCACTCACACACACTCAATAAGTGTTTTAAAAGAAAGTAGAATAATCTTATCCACACAAACATGTTGTCTTAGTTTCAGTGACCTTTGCTGGGATAAAATGCTATGACCAAAGCAACTTGGAGAGGAAAGAATTATTCAGCTTACACTTCCATGTCACTGTTCATGATGAAAGGAAGTTGGGACAGGAGCTCAAACAGGGCAGGATCGTGGAAGCAGGAGCTGATGGAGAGGTCATGGAAGGATGCTGCTTACCCGCCTGTTCTTCGTGGCTTGCTCAACCTGCTTTCTTACAGAACCTCAAACCTTCTGTTGAAGGATGGCTGCCCCCCCCCATATCAATCACTAATAAAGAAAATTCCCTACAGGCTTGCCTAAAGCCAGATCTTACCCAGGCATTTTTTTCAACTGCAGCTCCCTCCACTCAGGTAACTAGTTTATGTCAAATTGACATAAAAAGCCAGAACAACTGCCCACTTCTCAACTTGATACAAATATATCACTATTAAGACATAACCTCTTCTTTCTTGTTAACTCCAAGATCTCACATTAAAAAAACATAAGCAACTTTAAAAGCCCTGCAGTCTGTACAAATTTAAACATAGTAAAAGTTCAATCTCTTTAAAACAGCCATTGTCTATAAAATCCCAAAATCTCTTCAAAGTTCAAAATTTCTCATCTGTGGGCTCCTATAAAAATAAAAATTAAGCTTAATACTCTCTTACTTTCAAGGAGAAAGAGCCTGGGACTAATCACAGCCCGAACAAAGCAAAAACAAACACCAACAGTGTACATGATTCAATGTCCACTATCCGGGATTCACTCATGATCTTCTGGGCTCCTCCAAAGCATTGGGGCAGTTTCTCTGGCTCGTTTCTCTGCAGCAAAAGCACGTCTCCTAAGCTCAGTTGGAGCTGTTGCATGACTGCAGCTGACCTTGGTGGGCACCTCCAGAACTGGGCTCTCTTGCTACCACTGATCTTCACTTTCACCAGTAACCTCTCCCGGGCTCTCTCCAGAGACTCCAACCCTGCCACGCCATGCTGGCCCTCATCTGCTCTCTGTGATCTCTTCACACCTTTAACACCAGCACTGTGTTAGTCAGCGTGTTCTAGAGGAACAGAACTTACAGAATGAACAATTATATAATATGTGTAGTGTAATACAGTATACCACAATTATATGAATAGTGTAATATATATTACTTATTATATATTATTTATTATAAAATTTCTGTTCCTAAATTATTAAATAATTATATATACACGTGTGTGTTTATGTGTGTGCATTCTGTGGTTCAGCTAATCTAACAATGGCTTTCTACCAATGGAACATCCAAGAATCCAGTATTTGTTTAGTTCAAGAGGCTGGATTTCTCAGCTGGTTTTCAGTACATCCTGAATCTCACAAAAAAGGCTCTAATGACAGTGAGGGAATGGACTTGCTAATGAGAGCAAGAGCAGACAGGCAAAGAGAGAGCAAGCTTCCTTCTCCTATATTCTTTTTGGAGGCTTCCAAAAGGTGTGGCCTAGGTTGAAGGTGAACCTTCCTACTTCAAAAGAGCTGGATTAGAAATGAGTCTTCTTGCTTCTAATCTTTTGATTAAGAAAATGCTCCTCACAGACATTTGCATTTTCATAAATTCCAGAAGTGAGCTGACAACCAAGAATGGTCATCACACCCACACTATCTCAACTACATTCTAAGATGGCCATGGTCTATAGAAAACCCTAAGATAGATTTTTGTCCTGACTCTAGATGAGGAAGTGCTTGGTGAGAGCTCATCACAGACTGTATGCTGTTTTGCAAACTAGAAGTAGAAAAGATGTGCAATACTTCAGAGTCAGTAATTATTTTTTCTCCTTTTTTAAAGATTTATTATTATTTTTTATTTTTTTATTAATCACACTTTATTCACTTTGTATCCCCCCCATAAGCCCCTCCCTCCTCCCCTCCTGATCCCACCCTCCCACCCTTTTCTTCATGCATGCCCCTCCCCAAGTCCACTGATAGGGGAGGTTCTCCTCTCCTTCCTTCTGATCCTAGTCTATCAGATCTCATCAGAAGTGCCTGCATTGTCATCTTGTGTGGCCTGGTAAGGCTGCTCCCCCCTTAGGGGGAGGTGATCAAAGAGCAGGCCAATCAGATTATGTCAGATGCAGTCCCTCTTCCCATTACTATGTAACCCACTTGGACACTAAACTGTCATGGGCTACATCTGTGCAGGGGTTCTTGGTTATCTCCATGCATGGTACTTGGTTGGAGTATGAGTCTCTGGGAAGACCCCTGTGTTCAAATTTCTGGTTCTAGTAATTCTTTTTTTTAAGATTTATTTATTATATACACAGTATATTTTGCCTGCATGCCTGCAGGTCAGAAGGAAACACCAGATCTCATTATACATTGTTGTGAGCTACATGTGGTTTGCTGGGAATTGAACTCAGGACCTTTAGCCATGGACCTCTGAGCCATCTCCCCAGCCCCAGAGTCAGTAATTCTAAAGTCCTCGTCCCTAGAGACTCTCTCATGTAGCAAACAATCAGTCACTTTATTGTTTGACATTCTCTGGCACTAATAATTTCTAAAAGCAATTCTGAAAGGCACACGTATCAGTCGTTAAGTATTAGCATCTACTTTCTATAGAATTTTGAACAAGCACATTCTAATCTATGTAGTGTTAACAAAATAAATTTTCTTAAAGAAAATTCTCTGCCAATAATTTTGATCACCCCATATTATAAAGTTACTGACACAAAAACATTAGCAAATGAGTGTCAGTTATGCCAAGGTAAATATGGCCAAATATAAATTAGGTGATGTTTGCCAGTTGCTATAAAGATGAAAATGGTATAGTGCCCATAATACTTTAAGTGAATTGCCCTTATCCGTGTTCATCCCAAACATTGTAATTCTGCGCACACTTACCTGTTTGTAAGTGACACATTGTACAATCGAAAATCTTGCATTCTTCCAACAAACTGCTCCAAACCTGAAAAATATGTGCAGATAAGAAACCCCAAGATCCAAGAAACCATGTCGATCATTCAACTCACATTCTGTTAAAACTGCAAAGTTTGAAGTTTTATTCCCATCGGCACCCTGCAAATTCTTGAAGATTTGTGTCTGTTTCCTAAGTCTACATGGTTAAGAGTAGTCATATTTAGCTCCACAACTATTGCAAGACTGTGAAGTCAAGGTGAGTCCCTCAGCAGATTACTCTAGACTAGATTCAGAGCTGCACTTTTCTGAATATCTTTCTCATTTACAAACCTACCAATCTATTATTTCATGAGCCTTAAATTTCATTGTCATCATCTGCTTTCAATAGCAATTTTCAGAATATTTGATATGCCAGTGGGAAAACTTCCTGTTTTCACATCCCACTAATTCTAGCTTAAACTCTAGAATGTGGATTCTAACTAAAACAGATGCTCTTCCAGAAAATCTCAAAAAATATAAATAAAAAGACAAAAACAAAACCACTGTAGGGCTGGTGCTCATGGTTATTACATTCGGTGCAATTCAGTCTAAATATCATCGCCCTGTAAGACTTCACCTAAGATTATCAGCTTAAAGACCACAATTACACCACAGGTTACGTTCAACCTTAGGTAGGTATCAGCCTTCACAGACACAGTATTGTTTGTGTATTTACCAAAGATTTAGGATTTCTAAGGGCAGAAAAGCTCAAGAGATTTGGAACCACAAGGAAGGGAACAAAAAGAAAGAGGAGGGGGCAACAGCAAGCGCCTGCCAGGAAAGCTTTCCGAGCTGCGTTAGAGCCTCAGAAGCCATGTGAAATGCCCCACGCAATGTCATGTGCCTGCAACCAACGCCAGCATTCCTACTTGGGCCCAGCTAGCCTGAATATTCAGGAGAAATAAGGAAAGAGCTGCCTCAGCAAGACGGAAAGAGAAAAGAGCGAGTAGAGGAAAGCTGTCCTCTGACCTCCACGTATTGCTCTTTGGCACATATGCACTCACAGTCACAGATACACCAGAATCTCTCTCTCTCTCTCTCTATCTCTCTCTCTCTCTCTCACATACACAGAGAGAGAGAGAGAGAGAGAATAGAAAGACAAATGGGATAGGCATTGGACGTAGGAGAAAACAAGCAACAGGACAGGAGCCTACCGCAGAGGGCCCCTGAAAGACTCTACCTAGCAGTTTATCAAAGCAGATACTAAGACTCATAGCCAAACCTTCTCTGCAGAGTGCAGAGAATCATATGAAAGAAGAGGGAGTTAATATGATGTGGAGAGGATAGGAGCTCCACAAGGACCAAATATATCTGGGCACAGGGGTCTTTTCTGAGACTGACACTCCACCAAGGACCAAGTATGGATATAACCTAGAATTTCTGCTTGGATATAGCCCGTGGTAGCTCAGTAATCAATTGGTTTTTTTCCTAGTAAGGGGAACAGGGACTATTTCTGACATGAACTCAATGGCAGGCTCTTTGACCTCCCCACCCCCCAAGAGAGGAGCAGTCCTGCTAGGCCACAGAGGAGGACTTTGCAGCCAGTCCTGAAGATACCTGATAAAACAGGGTCAGATGAAAGGGAAGGAGGTCCTCCCCAATCAGTGGACTTGGAAAGGGGCAGGGAGGAGATGAGGGAGGGAGGGTGAGATTGGGAGGGAATGAGGGAGCGGGATACAGCTAGGATACAGAGTTAATAAAATGTAACTAATAATAAAAATTAAAAAATAAATATAAAGAAAAAGAAAGAAAGCAAAACAAAATACAATTATAGCTTGCATCTGAAATGTCACCCACAGGCTCACATTTTGAGTATGTGGTCCCCAGATGATGGTGCTAATTTGGGTTTGTATACTGAAGGACTGAAACAATGACTCCCTGATGCACAGTAAGTTTTTTCTCCTTTAAGGTGGCTCTGCCTGACACTGCACTCAAAAGGAACTAATACAGCTTTAATAATGCAGCTTTATTCTGCATTTAATAAAAAAGGAAAAAAAATCAAGCTGGAGTTTGGATCGCAAGGACCCAAACTGGATTAGGATCAAATATATCATACCACTTTAGTAACTCTTTGTCAAAAACTTGAATTATGACCACTGACTAATGTCAGTTCCAAAAGTTCATTTTCCAGAGTAGTCATTACAATATTTTAATGACAAGAAAGTTTCTTTTTTCTTTCTATTTATTCTTTCTTTCTTTTTCTTCCTTCCTGCCTTTTTTCTTCCTTCCTTCCTTCCTTTCTTTCTTTCCTTCTTTCTTTCTTTCTTTCTTTCTTTCTTTCTTTCTTTCTTTCTTTCTTTCTTTCTTTCTTTCTTTCTTCCTTTCTTTCCTTCCATCCTTCCTTCTTTCCTTCCTTCCTTCCTTCCTTCCTTCCTTCCTTCCTTCCTTCCTTCCTTCCTTCCTTCCTAGTATTCCTTGGAAGACTTTTGGAGGGAACTGAGCAAAGGAAGATGTTAGATGAATAAAAGATGGACAGTAGAACCAGAAGAGATGATTCAAGCTAAAATGTACTAGCTTTGCTTCCAGAGGACCTGGGTTCAATTTCCAGAATCCACATGGCAGCTCACAACCATTTGTAACTCTAGTTCCAGGGGATCTGATACAGCTTTCCGGCCTCTGTGGATACCAGGCAAACACATGTGTCATACATGCAGCTAAAACATCCATGCAAACAAATAACCAAACGGTAGGCAGTGGAATTAGTACCCAGAATGAACGCTTATCATTGTTCAAGAAAATCAAGAGATATTCTGAGATGATCAGAGGATCAGAAGGGGGTTTCAGAGAAAAGCATAGAGAGCAAAAGCATTTATGTGCAAGTATGCGCACCTACACTGGGCACACACATTTTGGCTTTTTATTTGAGCACAGAGTTCAGAAGTAGATCACCACTTGCACAGCATGCAGAAGGTCCAGGGTTCAACCCCTAGCACCACCAAAATAAATAAATAAGTAAATAAATAAATAATAATGAAACAAAACAAATGAATTATATTATTTATTGTTGTAACCTGCTTAAGCTCGATAGCCCCTCTGTTGAGACCTACTTTATTTCTTAGCATAACTATGGCTCCTCTGTTAACATCTGTTATTGCCTTTAGCATAGCAGAAACCATTTTGCCTCCAAGTCTCCATTTTGATCATAAGGTGAAATTAAGTCCAAGTTCTCTGGCCTATGTGCCTCAGACCACAATACAATTCAGTGGTTCAGTACTGGCTCTTCAGAATAAATCAATAAATGATAAATGCATGTTGTGCTTGTGTTAAAGGTCACAACATCCTGCTATGTTCCTTACTCCCAGAAACCTGAAAAGCCCCCAAGAACTCCCTTACCCTTAAATTGCACACAGCCAATCAGCTTAAAGTGCCTTGTCTAGCTACCTAGATTCAACCCAATACACTTGGAACAGAATTGATTTTGTTTAGCTCGTCAAGATGATGTAATGCTGTCCCCATATACACCTGTTTTACCTGTTACCTGGTTATGGTTTTTCACATAAAAACCTGCCTTAGAAACAGAACAGGGTCATAGTCTGACTGCCGAGGCCAGATTATGGCCTGATCGGTCAGTTTTGGTTTAGTGGCCAATAAATTTCCATCAATGTGAGTCTGGTGTCCGAGTGGTCAGTATGCAGCTATTCCTGAACCCAGAACATTCATATCCAATGTTTGTGTGTAAACGATACATATTCAAGAAAACAGGCGACTCTACATTTATTCACGAAAATAAGTATTTTTAATTTATGAACTAAGATAAATCTTTTTAAGCTTTTGGCCGTGATCTTTATAACAGCAATAGAAAAGTAAACTGAAACAGAATGGCGCAAGAAAGAAGATTCTGAGTTCAGAGATAAAACAGAAAGTGGGAGGTATGCTCGTGGATACTGCTGAGTCCTGCATGAGTGTGCGATGTTGTTCGGCAGGAGAAATGAGCTGATGACATCACTTCTCAAGGTATTAGTTTTCCTTCAGAGGAAAGAGGTCACACTGTCTGCCACAAATGAAGGAAGCTGAATGATCTCCTATGTACTCTTTTACTTATCCTCACCCACATACAGTTCTCAGCACATCCACCAGAGTCCATATTACGGCCCCAAAGATTAAATTCTGAATGTTCTTTAACTTTCCAGCACTCTCCAAAACTCAACTATATATATTACCTTTATTCCAAGTATTGCTTCCTTACTCCAGGTCTGGCCTCAGCTTTGAAGTATATCCCCTTGGAAATAACCTGAGGCCACCACACTGCTCCAAGCTCCTACAATACCTTGATGTGTCCCTTTCATTCTGGTACTTACTTACTTCTCTATCTGTCCTATGAAACTTGAAATACAATAAGTAAACTTTCTCAGAAAGGCCGAAAGTATTATTTGTTCTTATTCACTGGTCTATCCATAACTAATAGCCATGTTCCTGTCAGCTGGTAAATTATTCAATGATACTCAATAATGAAGGCAATAAAGGACAAAGAATGCAGGGGGTGAGGGAGATGGGCCTGGAGTAAACTCACAGAAATGGATTAATATGGACATTGGTTTCCACAAGAATAGGCAAGGAGGATGACTGAAAATTATAGCCTCCTTAGGATGTATTTTCATGGTTACTATGTTCTGGCACCCGTATGCAAGTTAAGTGGGGTTTTTTTATTATGTATATTGGTTCATCCCAATATCTTCCAAGAGTCAAGTGACACTTGCCAGTATTTAGACTGACACTTCTTGGACAGAGACATCAAAACGGGGCAAATGTAAGTTTAAGGTTCCTACACAAAGGAGGGGAGAGGAGTAGTCTATGCAGTCTATGGTTGCAGGAAAGTTAATCACAGAACAAATGATAAATTAGGAGAATGAAGAATGAAAGGAGTCAAGGAATTGACTGTGTCCTGGTGGTCAATGAAGTTTATGTTGGAAATGAGAAAGCAAGGTGTTTGAAACAATGATGGAATTCACTGAAATTTTTTCCAGAGACACATAAAATGTTCTCAATGTTCCTTTGGGCAGTTTGCTTGCT